CATGGGAGGGGTTTTATTGTAAAAAAAAAAAGAGAGAGGGAGGGAGAGTAATTGAGTCCGGTGGAAGGAATCACAGGTGAGGGATGAGCAGCGCGCATCACATTTTCACATGAGAAAAGTGGGCGGGGGAACCGACGGATAACAAAAGGCCAGGTGGGGCTTTTCGTTTGCTGGCCAGTCCGGAGGCATTTATTTCCTCTCGTTACGTGATCGAGTCCTTGTTTTCTTTTTTCTTTTTTCTTTTTTTATTATTTATTATTTGGAAAATTTTACTATTTAATGGATGATTTTGATCGTTGATGCTGCACCGACCAATCAGATTCAGATAGTCAATTGTTCATGAATAAGATTTGTAATTGAGACCACCCGCGGGTGGGACTTCTGGCTAGCGTCCACACGGGGGAAGGAGATCTTCCCGGTGGTCAGGGGTTCGATTCACGCTGCCGAATTCACCTGGTCTTCCTGGGTTTAAGGGTGGGGACGGAGATCCGATGTTTTACTAGTCACTTTGCTCAACTCGTTGTATGCTCACCAGTTCGCGCACGCACCCACGCGCTGTTCGCCCAGTCAGCTGGGAATGTGCCCTTGGTATTATAAGGGTAGCTCCTTGCAGAGGTGGGTTGGTTGTGGGTTTTGAACCAGGGCCGCTGGCGGACTCCAAAAGAGTTAAAGTTGAACGGACTGACCAGGTTTCCCTTGTTATAAAAAAAAGATTGGTAATTGAGCAATCTAGATAGCCAACAAGACCACACGGTTATGCACACGCGGTATGTTCAAGCTAACGTCTTTTCTTGCGGAGTTGTGTATAGCTTTATATATGTGTTTGACTATAGTTTTGATTGTATTTAGAGATTTTAATCGGGATAAAAAGAGAATCTAAATTCATTGTTATCACAAGATTTGCCTTCCAACAAAAGAATGTGTCAAGTATTTATCTTATAACGGTGAAACTCTATATTTAACGACTGAACCTTGAAATGGGTGAAGTCTTTCTCTAATGGTAATTTAATTAGGCTAATCATAAACAGTGTTCTGGATTAAGAAACTTTTGGTGTTTTGTGCTGTTTTATGGCCTGCAACGCCGCAAGCACGCGACGTGTCTGAGTGTGCTGTCACTATGGAGTCAAGGTGTGGGTCCTTCGCTTCTCTCTTCCTGCATATATCAACCTTGCTTGGGTTATTTCCGTGAGAGTCCCTCGCATCTTTAATATTTCCAAATTAATCCTTCAAATCATGTAAGTTGCTACTTGGTCCTTCAAATCATCGTACTGCTTACAATTAGGTCCCTCTGTCTAAATTAACGTCTATTTGGGTAACTTGGGTTAAATTAAGCCTTAATTCCGCATGGCTAATTATAATGGTGCCCTTATATTAAAGTTTCTACCAAAACCCCTAATTTCCTCCTGCGCCCTTTTTTTATCACAATAGAAGAGGGAGGAAAGAATTCTCGGAACCTCTAAAATTTTCCAACTAATCCCTCTTTAACTAATGAATGCTTTCCCTTTTAGGGCTTGTTTGGATCGAGGGGAATAATGGTGAAGGGAAAATAGGGGAACCATTCACCTTGTTTGGGAATATTTAGGAGGTGAAGTTACTCACCCTAGTTCCCCTTAGTTCACCCCCTAATAGCATAAAATTTGTTACCCCCCAAATTGGGGTGTAACCAAGGGGAAGAGAATTTCTTCCCTACCCTTCCATTCTCTCACCTAGTTTCCCTTAACTTCCCTTAACCCCATTGAAATCCAAACACACCCTTAGTTAATTCCTCTATAATTTTTGCACATTTGAAAAGGATTACTGCCTTGCTGGTGATTTGAAGAAATTGAGGCTTGAAACTGAAGGGATGTTGATCTATGCCCTAACTCCTTGGAAAAGAAGGGTTTTAATGGGTTTGTGTTTTGTTGTTCCTAATGGGTTTGAGGGGTCTAAAAGGGTTGGCTTCTAAATCATTTCAGTTTCATTAGGCTAAAACTCAGGGGCGCAAATAGGAAAGTCAATACTAAAAGTTAAATTTAGAAGAATATTCCTTTAAATCTAACCGTTGTTAACCAAGGTGACATAATTGTAATTTTACAAGGGATAATTTTTTCACTTTTCCATTTTCTTTCTTTCTAGAACATTCTATGTTTTTTAATAAAGAATGTGTGTTTCTCTTTTCTATCTCATTTCTTTCTAGAACATTCTATGCCACTCAAATGACATAAAATGAAAATAGAGCCTAATAATTGAATATCATTTTAATATTTTATTGAAAGACAGAATACACACACAAAAAAGGTTCTAAGCATATATTTATACTACAATTTATTTACACTAATATACAAATAAAATAATGAGAATGAGATAATTAGATAAAAGCCCTCAAAAATCAGTTAACCTTCATTATTTCCTCCTTCTATTAAATATATATTCTAATAAAATGAAATAATATGTTTTCATTTGACGTGCATATAAATGTGTCAAATTTCTAGTGTGTGCGTGTTGTGTGTGTATATATATATATTATATATTTTAATATATATTATATATATATATATATATATATATATATATATATTATATAATATATATATATATTATTAGTATACAAGAGGAGAGAGAGAGAGAGAAAGAGAATCAATGGGTATCACTTGTCCATAGAGGATTTCCTCTTAAAATAGTGATGTGGCATAATCTCGCACCAGGTGATTTCTCTCTCGCTATCTTTATTCACCATGTGGGCGATTGTGCCACATTATATTTAAGAGGAAAAATCCCTCATTGACTCATTATATGACCCATTAATCTTATATATATATATAATATATATATGTCGTATAATATATTATACTATATATATATATTATATCTATATATATCACATCATTCCTTTTTTTACGATCGCGCTCCATTGAATCTTTGATCTCACGTTCTAAAGCCCAATACACATCAATTTTGAAGTAATCCGTCGTGTTTTGACCCTTCATTTCCACTCACGTTCATAGATTTTTAACGGTTTCGAATGCATAGACACATTTTAGGTTGTGATTTTAGGTTTCGCGTCTTAGGTGGTAATCTAAGCGTGTCACCTTAGGAAAACTTTACATATATTATATAGTATATTATTATTATATATATTATATTTTGGAAAATTGTTCCTAGGGTACAGCCTTAGATAATCATCTAAGGACGCAGCCTAAAATCATATGATTGAGCTACATTGTGGATGATCCGCTTTGTTAAACTTGATGTACATATTCTAAAACCCCAACACTCCAAGTTTGGGGTGAACCCGTCATCGTTTGACCCTCCGTCGAGCCATGTGAAAAGTTCTATTCATTTGAACCCGTTAAAATTGATACGAGTGGATGAAGGGTCAAACAACGACGGGTTCACCTCAAACTTGGTGTGTTGGGGTTTTAGAATATGTAGATCAAGTTTAACGGACGGATCATCCACAATGTAACTCAATCATGTGATTTTAGGCAGCGTCCTTAGATGATTATCTAAGGCGTCACCTTAGGAACACTTCTCCCATATATATATATATATATATATATATATATATATATATATATATATATATATATAATATATAATATTAAGAGAGAGAGAGAGAAGAGAGAGAATTTAGGTCAACTTAAGTGGCACGTCCACTAAGTTCTAGTCATATGATCGATTCCTCACTATTTGATTGATCTACATTGTCGGATGTGCCGTTCCGTTGAACTTGATCTAGCATATTCCTTAAAACCAAACACGCCAAATTTGGGTGAACCCGTCGGGTTGACCTCGCACCGATATCCGTCGATCAATTAAAGAAGTTTCTATTCATTCAAAACCGTTTAAAAAAATTTTTGAAAATTACGAAGTGGATGAAGGTCAAACCACTAACGGTATCATACAAAATTTGGTGTGTTGGGGGATTTAGAATAGGTAGCATCATTCAACAGAGCGATCATCCCACAATGTAGCCATCAAGATGATCATCCAATACTAAGAAACTTAGTGGACGTTCCAACGTTTAGAAATTGGACCATAAGTTGTATATTATAATATAATTTATGATAAGGTATTTTAAATAATATACGTTACCTTACTATATTAATAAATATATAGACTATTATATATAATATAATATATATATAATATATATATAATATATATATACGGCTATCCTTATCAAGGAGGGGGAGTTTTCTCATTGACAATGATGTGCAGCAATCTCCATCAAACTCAAAATTCTTCTCCTACTTTCTAAGGATGGGGTGAAGATGTGCCGCATTACGTCAAAAGGAAATTCCCCCTTGACAAGGATATCATTATCTCCATATATATAATATACATTATATATATATATATATTACACACTATATTTAAATTAAATATAGAATATTATAAGCTAAATAGGCTAATGAGAAAGAATGGTAATGCTTGGTATCAAAATACATAAATTTTATGTTGTTAGTGAAGGTGGGCACAATCTCCTCCACGTGATCAAAGGGGACCATCATTACACACTGGGTGAGCACGTGTATGGGGATGATGCATCTGGATTTAAATGAGTAGAGGGGATTATGCCACCGTCACTACCTTATGCATAAGCAGCAGAATATTGTGCTTGCGGTAACGCGAAGAGC